GGTGTCCAGGAAGGAGAGAGTGGAGCTGGAGTCACCAAAATGAAAAAATATTGAAGCCATTTGAAGGCACACATAGCCAGAGAACCACGTCCTGCCTGCTCCTTCAAGACGGCACCACCCAACAACCATCTCAGTCATCATACTCTTCCAAAGTGAATCATGATTTTGCAGAAACCCTAGAAAGCTGCCTTATAGGAGAACATTCATAAAAACACTCGCAAGAACATTCATAAGACTCGTAAGCCACGAGATATTCTATTGAACTTCACGTTTTGTGCTTGAAATTACTCTACCAAATTATTATCAAAGCAAAAATGGATCTCTGAGGGTATGTCAAGGCTACGAGAATGCTGTTTTGTTTTTATTATTTATTTTGCTTTTTAGGCTGGCGCCGGTAAAAAGTACAATTAAGTGTCAGCCCACTCGCCCAACCCCGTCTCTGGTTGTGTCCTCGAGGACATCGTTCTATTCGATCGACTTTTTGCGCTGTTGTTCCTGAAAGCCTGGATGGATGTTTGTTTTCGCCTGTGATGAAAACAAACGCTTCAAACAGGCGCCAGTAGGTGAAAACGGGCGTGGTAGTTCATGTCTATAGAGAGATGTGGGAAAAAATAATCAAAATAAATGAAGTGGCAAAGCGATGCTCAAACCTGAACTTTCAATTCCCCTACTTCCATATAGACTACCGTTTTTGCGGTAATACCATACCATAATTTATGTTAAATAGTTTTAAGTTCTTCAAATTTGTGTTTATTGGTCTTCGCACATGCTGAGCTATCAATCAAAGTAGAACACATTACATTTTGTCTTATTCGACCAGAGAATGCTGCGTTATTAGTTCACAGGCCCATGGTTCATGGTCCGCAGCGACCATCATCATCTTTGGTATATCCCTATTCCATAGACACGGAACTTTTTGGGGTCTCTTGGACTTTAGATTGTTAGCTTCAAGTATTATTCATATTTTAGAAGGGTTTGCCTCCATAGAATATTTTTTTTGTAATTATCAGATTATTTAAATGGGTCTTGCCTCACGAATCTCATCACATTTTTCTCCAGAATTCGGAATATTTTTGATTTTTTTCCCGTGTTTCCTCTTCGATAGTATATTTTATTGCATTTTCATTAATTTCCTTGGAAAACGTCAAGGTTTCAGCAAATATTCCGTTACGAAAATCCATTTTTGTGGACTTTTTCATGTCCATGGGTATCTGGGTACTTCTAAGCAAGTCCCTTCCCATTCCTAATATCTAAACTTTGTTTTATGGATATTTTTATATCTAAAATTACTAAAACTAATTACAATCATTAGCTTAAGACCAAACACCTTTTAGAAACATGCTGTTTTTACGAAATATAACATGTTTTATTTCAATTTCTCTATTATTTCGCACAGCCAAAAGTCGATGACGTACCGAACAAAATTTTGTATTATTTTTTTCACCATTATACTTGGGTTTTTTACTTTTTGTGTATGGAGTGCAAGGATAAATCTACTAATAAAAATTAAGATCACAGCAAAATTCCAGAAAATAGACATTTTATAGAGTATTTTCTGAAGCATGGCCAAGTGTCCTTATTATTAATCACATGACTGTATGTCAGGACAGGTAATGCTTCATTTATACGTTTAGTGTGGCTTTGTGTGACTAGGGGAAAGGCGGTGGCGAAGCCGGAAGCAGAGGCAGAGAAGAGGCCGGTACCGAAACGGAGGCATTTTAATGACAGTTTTAGTTTCACTAATCGCTTTATGATGATGACTCAACTATGCAAAAGTGCGAGCGCGTGCAAGAGTGTGCACTTACGACTTACGTGTGTGTGTGTACGTCTGCCGAGGCTGCTTGTGCTGCTGTGGAACAGTTGTTTACGAGTAAGATTCACATCTGCTTGTTCTAGTTAAAATTTTCCATCATCCTCTTGCCTGCACGTGGTAATGGATCAAAAATGGCAGCTATTGGGAGGCAGGAGACGGAAAGCTGGCACATAAAAAATAGATCAGAGTCTTGACATGCAAAAAGCTGAAGCTAATATAACACTAGTCGACACGAGTTTTTCTCAAGGAACAAACTGACTTTTTCTTAAAGATTTGGGGCTTAGAAATGGTTTGATGATATATTTTTTTTTTTCTATGGCAGAACTTTTTTTTTTTTAATTTTTGAAAACTGGTATTTTTTTTTAAAGCTTTTTTCAGAGGTAGCGCTTGTTTTTTTCACATAACTTTAGTATCCTAAGTCTGGTTGTAGAGAACTTTACTATTTTGAAAAGATAATTAAAACAGCTAGAGTCGGCTAAACACTTTGTGATTTCAGCTTACCGTCTGGGAAATATAAAGCATTGATTTGCAAAAATGATGATTTTTGTGCGGTATTTTTTTACGAAATTTTGACTTTAAAAACTCAGGAAAAGTCGAAAAAAAATTATATCTTATGTCCTCTATTTTTATGTGTATAGGTGCGTTTATTTGTCGTCGTTTAAGGTATCGCTCATTAAAATCTATGGAGAGACTTTGGAGCTAAAATTCGTTAACCAAACCTAAAAAATGGAATAAATTAACAAAAAATACCTTTTGGAAGGTTGCGAGCCCAACTGCCCATTGGGAACAAAGGAACGCGATCAGGTACCAAATGTACAACCCTTGTTCGTTTGCTTTGTTCCCAATTGGCAGCTGGGCCCACCGCCTTCAAAAAAGGTATTTTTTGTTCATACCAGACTTCAAAAATTCTTCAAAAAAAAGTTCTGCCATAGAAAAAAAACCATAATTCCTTAAAAAATTTTAAAGCCCCATATCTATCAGAAAAATTCGGTTTGGATCCTTGAGGAAAAAAAAAATCGGTTTTGTCGAGTAGTGTTATCTTGTAGTATTGATATGTGTTGTTCCAGATTGTATTTTTGTTGGCATTCACGCAGACAATGGCCATACGCACTGAATTTCCAAACGAGAATTAAGAGAAAAGAAAAACATTGACGGGCTATACTGAATTTCCCCCCCCGAGGGTCCTAAGGAGCCACATTCCCTCAATGCTAATTGCGGCCCAGACTCTCAGACTCAAGTCGAGAAGATTTCCGTTTGGAAATATTTCCGTTGTGGTCGTTTTCCTGTATTTGAGGACCAATGGCCCACTGCAGTGTAGTTTAGTTTCCATTCTTGGCACCGTTTTTTTATTTTTTATAATGAAGTTTGTCAGAATATTACGATAACGTAGTGCTGGAAACCAAGCTTAAAATGAAAACTTATCCATTTTCTGTATAATTTCGAATTTTTATACCCGTACTCAAAAAAGAGTTAAGGGGTATATTAGATTTGTGGTAAAAGTGGATGTGTGCAACGCAGAGAAGGAAACGTTTCCGACCCCATAAAGTATATATATTCTTGATCAGCATCAATAGCCGAGTCTATATAGCCATGTCCGTCTGTCCGTCCGTCTGTCCGTCTGTCCGTCTTGATGAGCGCCTGGATCTCAGAGACTATAAGAGCTAGAGAAACCAAATTTGGTTTCCAGACTCATGTGATATCACACTGCTACAAGTGTATTTCAAAATTTCGCCCCGCCCCCTTCCGCCCACACAAAGGACGAAAATCTGTGGCAGGCACAGTTTTAAAGATACGATAAAACTAAAAACGCAGTATCGTAGAAAATGCCAATATCTACCAGATTGCCGAATCTGAATCAGATCGGATCATAATTATAGCCAGAATGAAGAAATTAATTTTCAGTTGCTTCCCCTCCCCCTCCCGCCGCCGACAACGCATCTCATTTTCCTTCTCGCTCGCACATTCTGCCGCGTTCAGTGCGCGAGCAACCCCTAGCGGAGGAGATGTAGAATCTAATTGGAACATGTAAAATCTACATGTTAGATGTATAATATACATTGTATATGTAGATGTAGATATCATATGTAGCAAAAAATGTAAAATGTAAAATTTTTTTTTTTTCTAAAATTCTTAAAAATCATAAGCTCAAAAATGTATATACTGACTGAGTACGGGTATAAGTAGAGTCGCGTCCCCAGAAGCGACTCACACGTTCCTTCTCGTTTTCAATAAAGTGTTGTTTATTTGCGTGAATATTTCATATTTCAGTGTATCGGAATGTTCGCATCTGGTGTTCATCTGTGTTCATTGCTTTTGATTCTTAATTCAGAATCACAACTATACTTTTATAATGGACTACCGTTTTAAGTCCCTTTTTGTCTTTATCGAGGCCCAAACTTTAATCGCATTAGGCATGTCGAACATACTGCCATCATGAAATATGCCAATGAATGAGTTTCGGTCTCTGCCTAATTCAATTTTATTTCCGACCTAAACCATTCGTGCTTTTCTCTGTAGGTCAATGGTACCCAAAAAAAAAATTTTAAAAACACGAAAAAGTGAAAATAGAAAAGAGAGATCTTAAAAGTTTCCTGATTCCTTTCAAGATGCTTATTCATATGTGCGGTTGTGGGTCAGTGGTTGGTTTGCGAATGCGAAAAATTAAACAATTAAAAAGGCTGCATAAACAGGACATATAAATGCAAAATGGTCTGTTGTTAGTTTGTTTCTGAGATAATGGTCGAAGGGGCCTAATGTTTACGGTGAAAGCTGTGGTCTCTTTGCCCAAAGGAGGATGGTTCATGGATCCAGATAACAGGAAATTCGGTTGATAAAAAATAAATTTTTATATTATACGTACGTACGTTTAATGATACAAAAAACGACCAACGTTGATTTGCTTTTCAGTACTCGGTTGTGATGGTATATCTAATTCCAGGAAGATTATACTCCGGCGATATTCAGTACTTTACATTTTGAAAGGTGGCAGAAAGGCGACATTCCGTAATCAGTGGGCACTTTTACAAAACTTTTTTTTTGTTCCAAACTTTTTAGCGAGTCAATATCGATCAAACAAATTGCAGTTGGGCACTCTGTTTTCGGTTGATCTCCATTTCCCATTTATTTATTTAATTTAAATAATTATTATTTTTATTTAATTAAATTATTTAATTTATTTCTCTTGAAGGCAAGGATAACCAAGAATCGGGAGTGGAGCCCAGCTCCGATTGAGTGGGGGAGAGCAGCCGAAGGAGGATATCTGGTTACCAGGAAGAGTCAATAACAGAGCCATTCGAATCCGCACCATCATCATCGTTCCCTCATCAGTGTCATGCCCGAAAGGCCATGGATGGCGATCAAGAGCTGCTAATTGAATTGCAGGAAATGTCAACGGCAGTCACGAAAACCGTCGCCGCCGCCGCTGCGGCCGTTCTGGGGTCCAGCATGGAAAATAACTATAACTATTCCTACGATATATCCGCAACGGACGTTCTCTATCAGTGGAGTGCCAATGCGGCGGCAGCCGCCACCGGTGGGGGTGCACGTATCGCACATACCATGCCACCCTCAGTGGCGACTCTGCTCCCAGCGACGAATCACGGGTCGATGCATCAGTTGCCGCTTCCCGGAATCGGGATCGGGCAACGTCTCGCACCCAATGTGACCCAGTTCGGACTCCTCGACTACGGGATGAGCAGCATGAACGACAGTCTGGACTATGCCTCCTACCAGCAGCAGATGGGCGAGGACGGTGAGTGCCGGCAGTTGGACGCCAACGTGAGCTATTGGAACCTCACCTGTGACTCGCCCCTGGACTATGCCCTGCCACTGTACGGCTACTGTATGCCCTTCCTGCTGATTATCACCATCATATCGAACACCCTGATCGTCCTCGTCCTCAGCAAGAAGAGCATGGCCACACCGACAAACTTTGTGCTGATGGGTAAGTAGGGAGATGGCGGTGTTCGGGAATTATCTGGCACTATCCGGGTAGTGAAAAATCAGACTGTGTTGTATATGGAAAAAATAATATTGTTGCATAATTGTTAAGATCTTGAAAGTTGTAAGACAAATTAAATCCATTCTCTCTTAATTTGGGCTTGCAATCCAATTTCAGTTGAGAAGAAAATCCATCGTGCAACATTACTCCTCGTGTGAAATGAAACTTGGGATTGGGCCATAAAGACCACTGAAATGGTGGGAACTTTGCCTCTGCTTTGACACTTGTTCCCATTCCATTTTATTGCTGCTCTATTCCCTTCCGTTTGTTACGCTTTCGCTTTTATGTTTATTATTTATTTTTATTCCATGTCATTTCATGCCCGCACAGCCCCGGCCCGTCACCGCCCCCTTTTGGCGCTTTATGTGCCACAATTTTAAATCAGACAGAAGTCTTGTGAGATGTCAATATAGCTAGCAGTGCGGGTGCCTCGCCATTGGTTCCCATTTCCAATCCCCAAGCCACCATTCGACAGTCCCAACCCAAGTCGCGCAATGCTGAGATATTCTAATAGCGTGTGTAATGCTAATGGCTAGCTGTCTGGTTTGGGTGGTGCTGCGATGTAGTATTTGCCACTGAATTATGAAAAGACGATTCTGAGGCCGAGATTGAGACGGGATGGTGTGTAAGTGGCTTACACGAGTACTCGAGTAAATCCAATCGAAACATTAGATCCGATTTGAGCCTGCAGAGTGTCAGGTTTGTCAAAATTACAATTTTATATATTACACTACTCAACACGATTTTTCCTCAAGGAACCGAATCGATTTTTTGCGATAGATTTGGTCTTTAAAATTGTTTCAAAAGATTTTTTATTACGGCAAAAATTAAAAAAAAAAAAATGGTATATTTTAATCTATCAGAAAACGTCGGTTTAGTTTCTTGGGGAAAAAAAGTTCCATTTTGTTGAGTAGTGTTATTTGAGAGCCAGCTATGGGTTAGGCACATTTAAATAACACAGACACCAGCACCTCCTTCTCCTTATACTCGACTCGTCTCGTACTCGCGTCAAGAGCAGGCCAAGGCTAATAGCATTCGGATTGTTCGGGGTCGAAGTCAATTGAGAGCAGTCCAAACATTCCAAACCCTGTCAGATCTATCTAAGTTATAAAATAAAGTTTATATTATTCGATTTTTGAAACATAACAGACTTTATCGTAGTTCAAATAGGGTGGAACAAATAGTAGAGGAAATTTTGGAAAGTTAAACTTTACACGGGGCATGATTCCTTCGACTCGTTGGGGAAAAATATAGGTGGAAATTTTAAAATGAAAATAAATAATAACATTTCAGAAATCCGCAAATAGTTATTTGCACCCAGATAATTCGATTGACCTCTTCATAAAAGGTTATTTAAATTTACACAAGCGAGTGTCAGCCATTTTATGTGGCAAAGTACATAATAAATAATTGATTAACCTATCATGGTCGACGAATCGATTACTGGGTTCCGAATCCGGATTACAGATTCAACCGACCGGCACTTGAACAGAAAAGATCTACATCTAAACCAAATCAATATCAACATCAACGATGTTGTAATGCCCAATCGCTGAATCAATTTGCATTCGAAAACCGCAGAATGATTTTTATAACCATTAGCATAATTTCTGATTCTAATTTCTGATTTTCTAACAATATTTAGGTATGGCTATATGCGACATGCTAACGGTTATATTCCCGGCACCAGGACTTTGGTATATGTACACATTTGGCAATCATTATAAGCCTCTGCATCCGGTCTCCATGTGTCTGGCCTACAGCATCTTCAACGAGGTGAGTAAACGAAGCAGCTATGTATTTTTCTCACACAGTTTCTGACTTACTTTCACTCTTCCTCTCTTTATCTTCGTAACTGTCTTCATCTCTTTCTGTTGCTTCGGCACCATCATCTCCCTCTTCTTGTTTCCAAGAAACTAATTGCCTAGGCTGGTCACAGTATAAAGAGCGAAAACTGTTTGTTTTGACTTCTGGCCACGTTTCTTCCCACTCTATACTGCTTTGCACTACTCCATTTTCCACTCCACATCTCCTGGAGGCGACGCTCATTGACCTAAATAAAATACTTGGTTGAAAATTTTTGTCTCCATCTCCACCTTGGTCTTAGTCCCAGCGCATCCCCCCCTGTCTCTGTCACTCCTGGTCCTTTGTCTCTGGCTGATGTATCAGGCAATGTTTTGTGCTTTGTAGTTTTGCTGTTTCACTTTCACACAGTCCCCATTTTTCTTTCACTATTCTGTTACGATTCCCGTTATCGTTATCACATTTGATGCTACGTTACTTTCGCAGCTTTCCCCCTGCTCTCTCACTACTTATGCTTTTGTTTCTTTTTCTGTGTGTGTGTGTTTGTGTGTCTGTCATTTCTGTCAGCATAACGAAAGAATGAAAAACGCTGCTAGTGCCACTTGCCATTTGCCACCTGCTGCCCCCTTATCCAAACAGTCCATCTATTCCCTCCCCTCCCCACTTCCCACTCCCATTACCAACTATGTACAATAGCCTGCCCATCCTTTTACTCATTCAGTCAGCCATTCACAACACTTATTCATTCGTGAGCTTTTTTCCACCATTACCATGCAGACTTCTGCCCCGTGCACGTTTTCCTTGATTAATCAACATTTTCAATTTATGGCACTCGCTAAGGGGGGTGCTGACGGTTCGCTAAGGGATGGCTGAGTGGCTGACGGGACGGTGGGAGAGGGGAGGGGGGAGAGGATGAGTAGGAGAAAAGCAAAACTGTTTACTCACTTCAGTAGAGTAGTGTCAAGCTGATAAAATGCCCTTACTTTTGCCTTACTCTGCCCTCACCATTAGCCGTACCCTTGATCACACTCTGCAGCATAGTGGGTCATAGTGTCAAGAAAATAGTAAGACGAGGTTAGCAAGATCAGATTATAGATTTAGATTAATGGCAATGATTCAGCATTAATCGAAAAATTTGTTATTTCCTAGGGATCTGCCAGCCGTAGCTCCGTTTCTAATAACTCTGTAGTCTATAATAATTTTCAACATTTTATGGATTGATTTCGAACCACTGTTTCGGTCTGTTTGTTGGCGTAGCAACTACGTGCTGTTGGTGGACTCTCAGGGGATTTGAAGCAGCTAAATTCCATGCTGTGCCCCTGCCATGCCGAATGCTCTAGATGAATGGGTGAATGGTGGTAGATGATGAGAGGGGATGGGATGGGGAGCGTAAATGGGTAGAGCAAAGTCGTTTGGTATTGCGACTAGGACTATCTCTGCGTATGACTGCCATAAAATTCAACTCACATCCAACGGAGCTCCACTCCTCGTTTGGTAATAACCGTCAGGCGGCAATTGCAGACTGAGAGTTTCTTTTCATTTTTTGGAAAATGTATATACTCTTGCCAGCTCTCTCTCTCTCTCAATCTCTCTCTCTTTTGCTCATCTGCCTTTGAGTGGCCCGCATAATGGCCATGTTAATGTAACAAGGCAGGACGGCGAATGAGGCTTAACCATTTCATTGTAAAACACATCGCACAGACACACAAAGTGTCCGGAGTTTATCTGTCCGTGTCTATGTCTGTGTCCGTGTAATTGCAGTACAGTCAGACACATAAACCGGATTAGGGCACAGATTGTAAATAATATGGCTAAGCTGAATGTCAAAAACATACACACAGAGGCAGAAAGTGTCAGAGAGAGGCAGAGCGATAGCTGTGAATGCGGTTGAGGGAGATGGAATGTGACTAAACACCTGACTGAGCACCTGTCTGCCGCAAAGACGCACTCATTATGGTCCATAAATAGAGCAGACACCTGTCCAAGGAAGACTCCTGCACAGTGGCTGCCAAAATGGCCATCCAATGGTGAGGTAGGGATTCTAGGTGCCGGATAATGCATCCAAATGCCACACGCAGAAATGCTCTCCTGACAGTTGGAAAAATCTGACTAGGAGCTTGTTCTGGTTAAGACTGCTTTCGGCCACAGCTCTGACGAGAGCTCCTTTACCGGGAAAATTTGTGGCTAAGAGAATCTTTATTTGCTGTTGTTTGCTGTAAGGGCAAGGGCAATCTTGATGCCACCCTTTCCTGGTCGGAAACTATTAAACTACTAAACTATTTCGAGCTCAAATATACGTGTAGTTTTCATATCTTTAACGAACATTCCATGATTGATGAAAAAATTTTTCTTTACTTTGCCTTTTCCAAGCGGAAGAAATTACTCTTGCGGCATCTCCTTTAAAACCAGTTCCTGTTCGTCTATATTGTATGCCACAAGTACTGACATGTTGATTGACTATTCCCTCTCTTTCTATTTGTATCTCGAAAGTTCTTCACGCTCCCCGAAAGTATGCTAAACAAATGTGTATCTCTACTGCTCAAACTTAATCACATGCAAACCAACATACTCACCCCAAAGCTTTCAGCATTGACTAACGATTTGGTTGTTTTTCTTTTTGTGTGCTTACAGATTATGCCAGCCATGTGCCACACCATCTCCGTGTGGCTAACTCTAGCCCTGGCCGTACAAAGGTAAATATGTAATTAGGCCAATAAAAGTGGGCCCGCACCTCTACGGTACCGGTACCATGGACATGCTTAAGATGTAACTGAATAAATGCCTAACACACTACCTTACTGACTGACTGACTGACTCGTTGACATGTCAATGGTGGCAATAAATCAGTTTTTGTGTCGTCGTCGCATTCTGCGTAAAAATAAAATGTCAATGCCTCCTCGCCTTGGGCGTTAAAATTATGCCGAGTGGAAGTCTGTGTGCGCGGGAGAGCAAACAAACAAATGGCTTCACCTTGGCCTGGTCCTGGTCTTTCTACTGATGTCGATGCTGAGGCTGATGCTTTCACAGTCAACGCTGCGTATGAGCAAAGTGAGTTACACATTAAGCTGGCAGCTGACAGGCAAGACATAACGGACATTACAGACATCTCGGAGAACAGACAATCAATCGATTGATAGGGAATTTTCTTTTCCCCTGCCTCTGAAACTGACTGTCATTTATTTTTGGGGGGGCTGACACAGAAAGTGATGCGCATGCCAATTGGCCAGCTACTAATGTTGACCCATCGGGTGCCATAAATAAGCCAACTAATGCACAAGCTGACGATCGTCGGGCAAGAGCCTCTAACTATTTTTAAAAAAAATACCTAAATGCATACAATAAAGAATATATAGCCTTCATGGGGTCGTAACTATACAAGCTCGGGTATAAAATAAAACAATGGACAATGGAACAATATACTAATTTCAAATAGGCAACATACATTTCAAGTCATCTCCAGGACTCGGTCCACTTTTCTCTTCACCTTCTATTGGGAATCTTCTAGGTAAGCATAGTTCCCTACATTTGTAAAACATAGCGATAAAATCGTAGAAACTATAACTTATGAGCTGTTTACGCCAAAAAAGAGCTCTTAAAGATTTTAGAGAGCCCATCGTAACTTTTGTAATGAGACAAATGAGAGATGTCATGAGAGATTTGCTTGCTACGAATATATATGGAAATGATTTCTCCTCTAGCCCTTGACATTCTGGTAGTAATTATGATATCCTCAGCAAGGGTATAGAAGGGGATAGAAACCGTGACACAGGGCCCCTGTTTGACAGGGTCTGGCCGAATCCTCTTGAAAATCGGCCAACGCATTTTTATACCCGTACTCAAAAAAGAGTTAAGGGGTATATTAGATTTGTGGTAAAAGTGGATGTGTGTAACGCAGAGAAAGAAACGTTTCCGACCCCATAAAGTATATATATTCTTGATCAGCATCAATAGCCGAGTCGATATAGCCATGTCCGTCTGTCCGTCCGTCTGTCCGTCTGTCCGTCCGTCCGTCAGTCCGTCTGTCCGTCCGTCCGTCTTGATGAGCGCCTAGATCTCAGAGACTATAAGAGCTAGGGCAACCAAATTTGGTTTCCAGACTCATGTGATATCCCACTGTTACAAGTGTATTTCAAAATTTCGCCCCGCCCTCTTCCGCCCCCACAAAGAACGAAAATCTGTGGCAGGCACATTTTTAAAGATACGATAAAACTAAAAACGCAGTATCGTAGAGAATGCCCATATCTACCAGACTGCTGAATCTGAATCAGATCGGTTCATAATTATAGCCAGAATGACGAAATTAATTTTCAGTTGCTTCCCCTGCCCCCTCCTGTCCACGACAACACAACTCATTTTCCTTCTCGCTCGCACACTCTGCCGCGTTCAGTGCGCGAGCAACCCCTAGCGGAGAGGATGTAGAATCTGAATGGTACATCTATAATCTACATGTTAGATGTAAAATATACATTGTATATGTAGATAACAGATGTAGCAAAAAAATGTAAAATATAAAATTTTTTTTGTAATTCTAAAATTCTAAAAAATCATATGCTTAAAAATGTAAATACTGACTGAGTACGGGTATAAGTAGAGTCGCGTCTTTAGAAGCGACTCACACGTTCCTTCTCGTTCTATTAACTTATGTGTGGGATCATAAATTTAACAGCTTTGCAAATAAATTTGCCAACAGCAGAACCCCATTCTAGAGTCGAGTACCGAAAAAAATTATATGAGAATGGTCATAAATATTTGCGCCATTATGCGACTTTGGGCCGCTTCTAAGTGGTCACCAGGAAAGAGGGAACTTGTATGTGTAATTTTGTTCGTTGCGTGGTGGCTTTCAGCATCGCCAAATAGCTAAAAAATATACGAGTAGATGTTAACGCAGGAGGTACAGAAATGGGTAGTGTACAGAGAATCGACTCTGGACAGGACCCTAGCTTTCTAAAAAGCATTGAAAATTGCCGAAGGAAAAATATCGCGATAAAAACATTCAACATTTATTTTTATTACTGTTTTTGTTGTGAACTTATTGTATTTCAAGTGTTTTTATGGCCTTTGTCGATGGTATAGTAGGACAATGGGAGAGACGATGGTTGAGAGTGGGCAAGGGTGAGGGTGGGTACCGGGTACCGGGTATGGATAATGCTGTCAAGTGCCTCGGATGAACTGACTGAGTGAGTGAGTGACGCTCTCCATAAAAAATCATATTGCACAAATTTTTTTATACACAAATTTGCTCCTTTCCTTTTTTATTTATTTATTTTTTGTTTTTCAAAAACTCGCAGCATTGGCATCCTTTTTAAGTGGTGGTGCTGGAATATCCATTGAAGCAAGTATGTATGGGGAAAGGTCCTCCTCCTGCCCATTGACTGAAAATATGTAAAACTTTAGTTATGAAACACAAGTATGCTGGAATGCGTTAGATTAGGCTAATAGGATAAATCAATCAACATTTCAATCTGTCTGTCTGTCTGAAGTGGAGCTCAGAACTGAGCTCAAGTGAAAGGTCATTCTGGTCGAATGAATAAATCAAAAAATTAAATTAATAGTTTTTACTGTAATTTTTCCACAGATAGTTTTTCTTAAATTTATCCCTTTCCATTTTGAAAACCTTTAAACCACTATCCCATCAAAATTTCAACTTGATTACACATCTCATATAAACGCTCTCAAAAACCCAGTGAGATTTGAGCGGAGATTCCTCCATTAAGAATAGCTTGTCCAGCCCAGTCGTCCTTCGTCTTTTGTTTGGATTCCAATTGCCGTTACCGTTGCTTTCAACTTTAATAAAATCCGCGCTTGACAAAGGTTCAATAAAAGATTGATTGAAAAACATTTTCAAGTGCCTGCGCGATGGGCGTGGCCATAATTATGCGCATAAATTAGCCCAAAGCCGAGGACCTTGAGCATTCCCATCCCCTCCTTTTTCCTCCCATTTTTGAGCATCAAAGCTCGTTCGCTTCTCTGAGATTCTGATTGGGTGGTGGAAGACGTGGGGCTCAGTATTCTGGCCTAGGGGATTCTTACCAACTATAAAGCGGCCTAAAAGCCGTTAAGAAATTTTTCCGAATCTCCACAAAGACGACTTCAGCTCTGACAGATATGGGTGCGAAATCGACACAGAGTGATGGAAATTTACTCAAATTATGAAATTATAAGGCACCAACTTAATTAGCTTTTCAGATTGCCTTTGATTGCTTCTTTCCCAATTTCAAATGGTTCTCTTCCCTCCACATCTCCCATCTCAAGGCCGTTGAGGTGGAGTGCTGTCAAGGATTTGGCAAATTCGTTGTCACCACATTGCGATCGTAAATTCGCACCTTAGAAATTGGTTTTACTTCTTCTGTGTTGACGTTGTCATGGCTATACAATTATATTAGGAAAATGCGTTTAGAAGCACAGGCTCGTTCTCAGGCTTTAATATCCCAACACGGCCAAAAGATGAAGGCTGATTGGGGGCACGAATTGTGTTTGTATCTTTAAATAAAAGCGCATTAGCCCAGGCGACAGTAAATGCCAGCCAGATTATGTCCAATGGAGTTTGCTGCTCGTACTCGTATATTTGTTTGCCTTAGTTCGGTAGTTCTATTTCACAAATATCAAATAAAGCGCTCAACGCTTGGCACCTGAAATTTTTTCGATTTTTTAATGGTTTTTCTAAATGATTCCTTATTAAGCACTAATGGCAATCTATCATACAGTTTGATGGCTGGATGGTCACCCCGCAATGTGCTTTGAAAGTGCCAACACTGTTGATTCAATTAAAAATTTCATAGAATGTCATGGAATATGATTTAGCGAGTCAGCAGATGAGTCGCTGTTCAGAATTTCCTGCCTGAAGGACAGAGACAGGACAGTAGCTTAGGCATGCAAAATACAGTAAAATACAATCTTTTTCACTCTCTATTTCACAGATATATCTACGTGTGCCACGCCCCCATGGCACGAACCTGGTGCACCATGCCGAGGGTGAAGCGTTGCACTGTGTACATCGCCCTGCTGGCGTTCCTACACCAGCTGCCACGCTTCTTCGACCGCACCTACATGCCCCTGCAGATCGAGTGGAATGGAAATGAGACGGAGGTGTGCCACCTGGAGACGTCCATGTGGGTGCACGAGTATATCGGTATGGATCTTTATTACACGAGCTACTACCTGTTCCGGGTGCTGTTCGTGCACCTGCTTCCGTGCATTATCCTGGTGACGCTCAACATCCTGCTTTTCTCGGCTATGCGGCAGGCCCAAGAGAGGCGGAAGCTGCTGTTCCGCGAGAACCGCAAGAAGGAGTGCAAGAAGCTGCGAGAGTCCAACTGCACCACCCTGATGCTGATCGTGGTGGTGACCGTGTTCCTCATCGCCGAAATACCCATTGCCGTCGTCACGGCCATGCACATCGTGAGCTCGCTGATCATCGAGTTCCTGGACTACGGCATTGCCAACATCTTCATAATGTTGACCAACTTCTTCCTGGTGGTTAGCTACCCGATCAACTTTGGTATATACTGCGGCATGTCGCGACAGTTTCGCGAAACATTCAAGGAGATATTCCTCGGCAGGATCATCGCCAAGAAGGACAGCTCCACAAAGTACTCGATTGTCAACGGCCCCCGCACCTGCACCAACACCAACGAGACCGTCCTATAGTAATTGGTGATGTTGGTGCCGCGTCGTGGCAGCAGCGATCAGCATCGCACCACCGCCGTACGCACCGCCCATGCCAAAGACCGGTACAGTACGCAATGTGGCGTGAGCGGGACGCCACAGCACCAACATCTGCTCCAGCATTACCAGCAGCGACGCGTAAGCAACATGGACATCATAACCGAGGAGCGAAATGTCTAAAAATATGTAAATTATGTAGCAAGCAAAGCCCTCGGTTTCAGGGAGAGATCATACTACAAAATCAGTTAAATAAACCCAAATGGGTCCAAACTATTAAAAATTTCAAAATCCAAAAACTTGATGGATCTTCAAGCCGATTCAAGGGAAAATTCTTTTTGCATTCAAACCAAAACCCAAATACAATCAAAATATATACAAAGCACATACATACATATGTAAAAATAATCGAATGTTCAATGTCTATTGCAGTTGCAGTTAAAGTTCCGTTCCCCCAATAGAGTCCCAATAGAGTTTCTCGCCTTCAGATCTGTATGTGTATTTGGTTTTTGTGTATTGATGTTAATTTTGATGTCAATTTCGTAATCTGCATTGATTGATCAGGTTAAGGCAATATATCGTTCTATGCACGCATTACAAGTGTTAACCACAACCCAGTGCACTGCAGTGTCTAGGTTTAAGGATGGAGTACCTCTGAGAATATGGGAGAGACTTGAGTGGTGATATCTGCCCAGAGCAGGCGAGAGCTGAGGCGGAAACGTAATAATAGATAATACAATAAACATAAGATCAAATAATTAGGCTAGATTCAGAATTAGCTACAGGAAACTCAATCCCCAAGCCACGTCCCACAGAGAACCCCGCTAATATAAGAAATCTGAAGAAAATTAAATATTCATTAACAAATAGAAGTAATTTAAGTGTCTGTCTGAATATTAAAGCAACGCTTAAGTAAACCTTTGGCGCAACTTTTGGAGCGACATTTGTAAAGTATTTTTGTTGTTCGGATCATCCTTAAGTGAAGGCTTATCATAAGGACATGGACACGAGTGGCACTTGTTTAAATCTGTAAGCCTTTGAGCCCCAGAGCTTATCGATTTAAATGAACCAGAAACACAGCACTACAGAATAGAATACGCGGAGCAAAGATGAGCCCCCGACTTTTAGCTCACATCAGTCATAGCGAATTTCCAATTGGACTACTCGTATATAAGTGTTTTTTTGCTAGTGCTAGGAACCAGAATAAACCATAACGTTTCAATGTTGATATGTGTGTACAAGTATTTTAAAATTACAATTACAATTGCAGTTTCCAATTTCAATGTTTTAGACTTATGACAAAACTAGAGGATTTAATAAAGAGCAAAGCAAAGCAAACCAACTAAAACTAAAAAAGAAACAAACACTAGGAGTACTCCGTATAACTACAGAAAACATAAAATTCGCTATAATATTGTCTTTGGTATAACCATTACTAAAATTTTGTCTGTCTGAATGGAATGTTAACTACTTATACAACATACTACTTACAAATTTAGCTTTGGAAAAAAGCTGCGTTCGGGTTTTATTTCATCTGATTACTTGTACAGTGCTCGGACTCGTTTTTTCTGTATTTACATACATACGTACAAATGTTTGTATATACATAACATATTTATTTTGACGGTGCATTCAATATTGAATAAACAAACGGTTTATATGTCACAAAAAATCTATTGCGTTTGGGTTTTTATTCCAGTTCTAAAAATCGAAATACTATTTTTTATACGCAGAGCTATTTGTAGAGCGAACGCTCCTCTCATGTGGCCAGAAAATCTATAACTGATCTAGGAAAAGCGATCTAGACAGCTACATTTTCGGCATCAATTATGATATCTGCTATGAAAGTATGTAGCTATTAATCGACCTCGATTCGGGTAAGCTGTGGTGTGGGTGTGGCTGTGGCTCCGTTAATATAACTGACAGCGCGAACTTGTACCAGGCCGCAGCGACTTACAGCCATAGGCCTGACGAAAGGGATCGAAGCTGGCCATTACGTCATTGACCCGCTTCCTGTCGCTGCCGTGCTCCTCGCTGTCCTCCAGGTTCCTGTCATCCGAGCAGAAAAACTGTGCAAAATTAAAAAAGAAGAGCTGCTTTTGAGCCGGTGTGCTCCGGGCAGGGCTCCCCGCCTCGAAGTAGGCACTATAGGCCAGATCGAGGCCATTCAGATCGGCGAACTTTTCGTCTACGAACAGTCCGTGACGGCGTTGCAGGCAGAATACCTGGGACAAGTACCGTCGACTCGTGATCAGTGAAATGCCCATTGACCTGTTGGGCCGACCGCGCGCATCGTAGTGCACATCGACGGGCGCAAAGCCGTGCGAGAGCTCATGCCCCAGAATGAAGCCCAGGGAGCTGTAAGTGAGAACCTGGCGTTGCTCAGGGCGGAAGAGGGGGGCCTCCAGCAGGGAGAGCGGCACGAGCAGCGCATTCGCCATGGGCATGAAGAAGGGAGAGGCATAGCTACCGTAGCCATGCACCTTGACCGGATGCAGGTCGTACTTGGTGGCAGGATCTACCTCCTGGACCCGCGAGTGCTCCATTACGGTCAGCAGGTTGCCAAAGTAGTCAGAGGCGTTGATCCGGAGCTGCTCGTAGTGCTGCTCCAAGCGCTGCTCCACAGACTCCACGGCCTCTGCGCTGGGAAGAATGCTCAGCCGCAGACTCATTCTCTCCAGCTTCTCGAGAAGGAAGCGCTGTGTTGCCGCCGAGAACTTGTTGCGATTGGCCCGTAGTTTCAAGCTAAATTGCTGCTTCAGCTCTCCGAATAGCACCTGCAGCGTGCCATTGGCCTGCATATGGGGATGGTGCTGCTCCACCAGCCAGACGGCGGCGTGGGTGATGAACAGGCGGGCCTGGGCAGCGCACTCCAGTCGGGTGAAGCTCCATGGTGCCCGTTCGCCATCGCGGTGCAGTGATCGAAGAAGCAGATAGTGTAGGAGGAAGCGCGGGGGCTGGCTGGCCAGGTGATGCGACAGATGCGTAATGTACAGAATGTCAGTCTCGAAGGTGGGCCAAGGCAGCATCCAGTAGGCTGGAACCGGGAACGGCACCTGCGTACCCGTATTGTCGGTATTCAGTGTCCAGCAAACAGCATCCTTGGCCTTAACCTTGACGGTAATCGCCTCCTCCAGGTCCTTTACCTTTTTCCACACCTCATCTGGGGTCTCCTCTGGGAAGGGTAGCCTGCGCCAGAGCTGGTCAAACTGCTCCCGGCTCAAGGGCTGGTACAAGGACGCGTTTCGATCGCCCTCGGCCGAGGGGCGTAATATAAGCTGCGCCCAAACCGACGGCAGGTTGCTGTCGGTTATCTCTAGAAGAACATCGGCCTGGAATAGAGCCGTCAGGGCCACGGACAGCTCGTTGCCATCCAAATCGGTCATCCGACATAACCTTAGGATAAACTCCGCCGAGGGCGTCGCCTCGAGTGGTTTCCGGCAGGCGGTGTAGTAGTCCCGCAGAATTCGCACAAAGCGGGGCTCCTTAGGGGCGCCTTGGGGCATTGTCTGGTCAAGCAGCTTGACCAGCTTCCCGTGATACACATGGTCCAGCTTGTCGATCACACTGCGATAGGGTCGACCTTGGTGCGTATGCATCCAGTTTCCGCAGGCATACTCATAGAAATCTGTACAGGGGTTCGCCAGACGGTTCATGTGGCGTCTCAAAGAGTCTGGCAGCTGGGCCCGCTGGCCCAGGCGCGGGCACGGGCCAAAGAGGATTGCCATCAACAGCAGCATCTGGAAATCGATCGCACGCATCTTGACCGAGAGTCGCTGTCAAACTGAGCTGATTGTTTGCGCGACACTTTTCAGAGCCATTCTACGGAGAGGTTGTGTTTTGGGGTTATCTCTAGAAGCGGGGAAGCCCGCCCAGCATGGCAGAGCATTCGGCTTTGCGAACTCAAGATCACTGATCGACCGAGTGTTCACTTCTAGAGTAAAATCTGATCTGGCTTTTAATGGGACAGAATTGATAAAACGGATTATGAATCGAGTAAAAATAATAACAGAATCTATTACGCGTCGTATAAAGTTTGAAGAAGTGTCCGGAATCTGTAGAAATTTGAGACCTACTAACCAGGATATTTTTGGGTTTTAGATTGAAAAGCTTTGGAATGTTTATAGAACAGGACAAGAATCTTTGGCTGGAGTTATTATTTTCTGTCCAAAAAAATATCCAGAAATTAGAAATCTCCGAAATTAGAGCACCCCAGGAACAAAGTGGTTCTAATATCCGTAAAGTTGCGTAAAGTTATCTGTAAAAACGTGCAGCTGCAAAGTGGAAGAAAAACAGTTTACCTTTCAGAGCTCTAAACTTCTCAGGAGTATAAAACTTTAACTCTCAGGAAAAATTGTCAATGACGGCGCGCAGTGGGGCCTCAGCCGAGAAGAGGTGGCAAAAGTCCTTTTCTGAGCGCTCGAATCTGAAAGAGGATTTTTCAAGGATTTTGAAAATGGAAATCTGAAGTTTAGTTTCGGAGATATGAGCATTCAAAGTTGACCACTTTCCAGTTAGCAGCATTTGCTCAATTTGTATGCGCTTCATCTCTCAGGGCAAATAAAAAGTAAACTTAACTATGGCATGTATGGTTATTGTTTTGGTATTTACTTTTTAGGTGTATTTATTGGTAGAATTTATCAATAAACCAAAGTCGTGGAACAGAAATCGCGAAACTTTCCCCACATTTGTGGGGAAATTGTGGCTAACAACTCTGATATAAATTTGGAAGCTATTGAGCCTAGAATACGTTAACCGGGGTGCCATGTGTCCTTGGCCTTGGCTTGGAAGAGATGGCAGCAATTTATAATGCCTGCAGTATGAAATGAGGGAGAGCCAAAATGTGCAATATGTGGGAGAATTAACACCAAAGAATGTAAAATTTTAACCCATTTTGGAAAGTTGTGGGGGGACAGGCTGTAGGCAAAGGAAAAGGCTGCACAAGCCTCATTTTTTTTCACTCAAAATTGATTGACGCCATCGAGACACACACACTCACCCACACACATAAACTGACGCGCACAAAAACACGCACAAACAGGCATACTCACACTCCACAGACAGCATCACGAGAGGAGAGTAGACAATGAGAGGGCAACAGATAATCAATCAGAAAGCAGCTTATTGGCTTTTCAAAATGCGTCTTACAAAATAAATAAAAGTCAAATCGAAAATGTGGCGTTTTATGCTATACCCTAGTTCCTATCCCTGTCCCCTGCCCTGTGTCCACATTCACCACGAATAATTCACTGGAATGATTCTAGTGATGTCCCCTTCTTAGCTGTTCGCTGGTCCAGGGGCCAATGAGCACAAACAACAACCAGTCAACTTCAATCCGATTGGGACCGAAAGACAGTTGGTCTGTTGGTCTGCTGGTCCACTGCCTGGCCCCGACCTAATGCCAATTTAATACTGCGTGTGGCTTATGCCTGTCTTTATTTCTTGCTCCCCATCTTCCACTCTCTCCTCCCGTGTGAATCCGTGCATACAGGCATGTATTTGGGTTTGTGCTAAGCCCCTTCATAAGAACAAAGTATCGGCAGATGTACACACGAGTACAAGTATCTTGGCTTTCGGCGTTTTGCTGCCGGCTTTTTCAGCCTTTGCTAATTAAATTTACATCCGCACATAAAAAATTAAGTTGACTCGATATATTCAATATAGGATCAAATGCCTTAGGACCTGAGGTCACGTAGGATGATCGTTGTCATATAAGTATGTACTTACTGTGTAGGCCTGAGATCTTTGTTTTTACTTTAAAAACTGTAGTTGCTGTTGTTAGCCTACTCTACATTATCTGAAAATTAAAATGATTCAAAGTCCTCCCCTCAGACCGAACACAAGTGACTGAAACTCTGGGAAACCCATCTGCCCTGCGGTCCACTGATTTTCTGTTGTTTTACAATTAATTGTCGCCATTCTTGTTGTGACCTCATTACATAATTCACACGTGCGAAACATAAACAACTGAAAGCTGGAACTAATGAAACAAAATTATGCTAAAATACAGTGGCTTGAATTGACTTTTCTACCATGTACATATTCCCCAAAAAAAACCAGTGTGCCCATTTTTTTTTTAGATTAATTTTTAATAGAACCCTGTTACCTATGCCACCCACTTATAAACATATTCTGTTCTAGGCTCGAATCAATGTTCCCGCTATTATTGTTAGTGATTAGTGTTGATTAGAGGAAAAGTGCAATCATGGTTGGCGATAACTGCCTGTCATCCATCATTCTTAAATAGTCAAGGCATGACAATCGAGTACTAAGGCCACCGAGTACCATCGAGTACTAACACCCCTTCATAGCCAAGTGGCAAATTATGACCCGTACTTTCGATCCAACATAGGATCTGAGCTTGGTTCATAAACTAAGAACTCCATTGACATGCATGGTGTTCGAGAGGGTGCGGACACCACAGGAGAAATGGATACGCACGCAATCCCCACAGGCGGTGGTCCGCCATTAGCCTGGCCTGCCCCTATAACCGTTAATGTCCCTACGAGTATATGGCGGAAATGGACAATCACGGACGGACGGACGGACACCCACACGGCCGGACATCTGTCACGAACCGAAACAATCAAAGATGTTCCTAATTTATGAATCAACGCAATTAGCTTTAATAACCTACTGCTGCTGCTCTTTTCCTCGCCGCAGCTCAGTCCAAAATTATCTAAACATATGTATCCGAATGTGGGCGTGGTTGACTCAACATTTCACCTTCATTCGCATTCATTAAGTGGGAACGAAATGACAAACGGTTTCAGCAAGTGTTCAACAGTTGGAGCTGATTGCCCATGCATTCGAAAAACAAAAAATCGAATAAATTTAAAATTTAAATTTAAATCTGAAGTGGAATCGGAATCGGGGTACACTGAAAAACTAACCGTACAGTATACAAACATGTAGACATTGAGGTATTCGGGTCGGGAGCTGGCAATTCGACATGATTGACACATAACGTGAAGCGAAAGCAAGCCGATCATTGCAAATGTATGTGTGTTACACAGACACAAAAAAATATTATTGTGTGTTTTTAAGATACAAAAAGTGATTGTGCACCATTGGTGCCGCACTTTTAACGAAGTCCTTGTGCTAAATGTGGAAAAAAAACAATTAAAACGCGACACAGAAATAGGCTGGATAATTCAAACAATTTTAATACATTTCTTTAGCAATGATCGAAATCTACCGCAATGCCACTACGCCGGACAAGCTTCTGTATAAATATACTTGATGATACATACCCCAACCTGGTAATTAAACGCACAGTCTCGACCCCAGCTGGATTTCTTATATTCGAATTTGGTTTGATTAAGAGACAGGAGCATTTTAATTAAAGCAGCCATGTCAATGGCAACGAAACCTACCTCCGGGGAACAACAGAAACAAGAAGTTTTAGCATTTTGCTGATGAATTGTACAAGTTACCAGGAAAATTATTTCAGCGTTGTCGGCGTGCCCAACCCCCTGCCACATCCTTTCTGGCACAGTTCGCGACAAGTTCGCGTTGATGATGATTGTTATTTCCAGTGTTTCGAAAACTTTGGCCTGTTTCGCGGACACCGTTGCGTATGTATAGTGTGTGTAATTCAATAACTTTCAGCTCGAAATGAAAACCAAAACAATGACGCATTCGTCATGCCTCTGCCTCGCCTCGAGTGCTGTCGTATCTCGTGTTTGATGCCAGTCCTCTCCTTTGTTATTGTCGAGCGACTTGAATATGCAATTTCAGTCAATTTGCCCCTGCCATCTATCAATTAATTAGTGCTTCATGAAAAGTTAGATACGCTTTCCAGGATTCCAGAAACTCGGACAAATAAATATGAACTCCCATCGACTAAGACCCTCCTCCACACAATTGTAATTTGAGTTGATATTACTTTTTCGAGCTCCATCTCCTCCCACAGCCCCACAGTTCATCACAGTTGCCCCGTTCCCTCGTTGTCTGAGGTGATGTAAAAACCAGAGCAAACAAAAAGTCAACAACGATCATTAGTGGGGATTGGGATTTCCATATCTTGGAAATCGGTGCGGGGACATCGTACAGTTAATGATACCTGGAATTCGACATAAATAGAAACACGGAATCGAACAAACATCGAAAATTCGCGCAGTTTCAGAAATGTATTGATTATGAAAAGAAAATGAAAAGAATCAAAATATTTTTATTTTATTTATTTATAATTGTTTTTATTATTTTTCAGTTAAAGTTTGAAGCGGTTTTAGTTTATTACACAAATTAGGGATATGAAAAAAAAGAAAGTTTTGCTTTTGCAGTGATATATATGGACTATGGTTAGTCAGCAGCTGCGTGCACAGCATTAGGCAGTTAAAGTCGATCTAATGGGGAGTGGAGTGCGAGTGGGCCTGGTTGGGCGTTCAGTGGATGTTGACAGGTTAATGCAGGGCCGTTGCTTGTCGCCCAGTTGCATCTCTCCGCAGCGACGCTTGTCCGTGCGCAGCCAGTCTGAAAAGATTGTTTTTGTAGGTTATTTTTTAGGATACTCGTACATATGGTTGATATTATGGTGAGCGGTACTTACTGTTTCGCGGCTGGCTGTAGCAGTTCTGGTTGCGAAGCTGACAGTTGTTGGCCAGGATCTTGCACTTCCTGTTGTTGCGAGTCCGCACGCAGATCTCCTGCCTGGGCTGGGTTCTCCTGCAGACCACAGGACGTGCGGGGCAGGCTGCCCAGCAGGACCGCCTGTTGGAGGGACCGACAGCGCGCACGGTCCTGCAGTCAATGTCGCGGGTGTGCCGAATACCGGCAGGCTTGGCCTCGCGATTGGCCTGGATCAAGTCGCAGATGTTGTTGAAGCGCTGGCAGTCGCCCTGCGGTGTCCTGCCACAGACCCTGGGGCTGGTTCGGGAACAGACTGCTGCCGGGGAGCAGGGCCATGGACGGCCGGTGATCGGAGGAAGAGTGCTGATGGACCGCCTTGTGGTCGTCCCTGGGGTGACGCTAGTAAGGCCACTGGCCATGCAGATTAGAGCCACTCCTGAGATGGGAGAAAAATACTTTTATATCATTCTGTGCTGAATCCTTGAGGCATCTTTTTTATCCTTACCAAAAATCAGGGACAGTTGTTGGCTGTGCATTTTGCTTGCTGGTTGTTGATGGTTTGACTGTGCTGAAGGAGCTGTTGGCTCTGATACCTTTCGGGCCACCGCCCTAGCTATTTATAACAGCAGTAGGAGCGATGGCAACAATTACCTGGAAGAGAACTCCACACAATCCATCTGCGGCACGCGTCAGCTCTGCTATTGTTCAACGTGCGAGCACAACACATTAAGGCATTGACCCGATCGATATGGACAGAAAGACAGCTGCTAAATAACTGGAGCATCGGATACACACACGAACTTCATTAGGTAGCGATACAAGCTAGATTTATATTTGATGGCAGTCTAGAATGAGTAACTAATTTATTATTTCAGTTTTAATCGTATAAGTATGTAGATCAGGTTTAAGGTCACAGGAAATTCACGGTTTTTATTCCGCTACGAGAGTATGTGCTGGATTAGGGCCATTGCAATGGACCAATGCATTGGTACGAAAATATAAGTTCTCACAAGGAACCCCCAACGAATCGTGTCAAATTATTGTTGCACGATATATGTACTTATTCTAGTCATCTTGCCATGCGTGCAACAACAGCCGGTGCAAACAACAGAACAGATGGCAGGTGAAACGGGAGCAGGCGATCGACGAAAGCTATAAATACGCAACACCGCGAGCAAAATGTCATCAGTTAACCAACCAGTTGATTTAACAGAAGATCCGCTCATTAATCAAATTCGAATCATGTCCAAGCTCAGCATTTTCCTCCTGCTCGTCGCCCTGGTGGTGGCCATTGATGCCGATGGCGATAGCGATGTTGGCCGGCCCTGCGATGGCCGCTGCACCATCCGGGACCTGAATAGCCCGAGGCTCCTCTGCGTACGGGATCGCCGCACTAATACCTGTACCAAGCTGAGGGCTTGTCGTCTCCGCGAGCTTAACTGCCGCCGGCGCGACTCTGGCCTGACACCGCTCAAGGAGAGCTGCGTCACCCGATGCCGCAATATCAGGGGCGGCAGCGGCGTCAGCGGCCAGTGCGCCAAGCGCCTCCGCACCCAGTCGCCCCATTCCATAGACTCCAAGCAAGTGCGCGCATGTCGCAGTCGTCAGTGCATCGATGACAAGATCGCCGGCTGCTGGAAGGATCGACAGGGCGCCTGCATCTTGCAGACCCGTTGCGAGGCAAACCGCAGCAACTGCGTCAGGCAGTCCAACCAATGGATCCGCACTAGTCAGTGGCGTTGCCGTGGCAATGTCCAGGGTGGCGGAGCCCGCAGGTGCCACTCCCAGCCCATCATCATTAAAGATTAGGCACGGGCAGGGCAGTCCCTCGCTCCACTCCTTATTCGAACTCAAAACCCGAAGACCCAAGGCAAATTTAATCAAAAACTTATATTTTTCGCTCTTTTAATTGTCTTTTAAAATTTTAAATATTTACCCAAAAGTTTCCACGAAAATTAATCAACTTTCTCAACTATTCCAATTAATTTTTTTGTAAGTGTTCCGACGATGGTAAATCCTATTAGTGCCGGGATTAAAATTTTTTAGAAATCCATATCATTTCATGGCAATATTCATACCTATTCCAATAATTATTGATTATAATTAATGCTTAAGCATGCGTTATTTTGGAGGAGGCTGCTAGTGGGTTTCTAAAAGTTGAAAATGCTGATATTTACTTAACAATACGCAACATGGAAGCCATTGAACTTGATGGGAAAACGTATGAACATACACTGATAGAAAAAAGGCATAGTAAAAATAACTACAATCATATTTGAATTTAAAATGCCATTTTTAGATACAAACATAGTACAATTTAATAGAATTCACTTTGATTCAAATATAAATGTATTAAAAATGCTTTTTTAATACGGTCATATTTAATCTAAATACAAAACACTTCAAAATAACTATAATATATTAAATTTGTAGTAACATATTAAATTTAAATATGAAACATATTAAATTTAAATATGAAATATATTAAATTTAAATATTTCTATATTAATATCAAAATTTAAGTGAAAAATATTCAATTTCAATTCCGAAAAATAGTTTTCACATACTGACGGGCATGTGCTCATGCATGCATATATATTCGTTAAAAGGTGTAAACTACTGCCCAGGCCATACGCACCAATGATTCCGCTGACCTGCTTAACTGGTAAATGTACATAGTACTACATGTGTATGTGAATAAATCATGGACCTAGTCCTATACTGCATATGCGTATGCCCCAATCCAATCAGATAACCTTTGTCCGTAGCTGTTGAGTAAACGTTGGTTTAATTACAGCTCAGCTTTCATCACTGGAGACTGTTAAGTGGCTCCACATCCTAATCGTTCCACCGGATTACTTGCGACATTTGCTCTGGCCTTTTCCAAATGCAGCTGTAAATATTTAAATGGAATTACACATTTGCTGGATTGGCTGTGTCTGCAGTGAGCACACGTTGGCTATGTGTGTTTCTCTTACGTTATTTAATTTCTCGCTCCAACCCTTCGCCACCACACACTACTGCCTGGTGAGTGCCGTGACACACATTCTGCAATGCAGCCTCGTAATTTTGTTAGAGTCCAGTTAGTTGCTAGTGTTTTCTAATTTGATTAAGCTCGCTTTACATACACGTAGCAGAGCAGAGCAGAGTGTGCAGCAGCCAAAAAAATTAGCATTTGAGCATAAAGTGGCAAGTGCAATTTTCAAATTTATACTGGTGCCAGGACGGAAGGGCTGGCAGGCTAATGGAACAGGTTGCAGGCGATTTCGCTCTTTATTGCCATTCCGCGGCCAAACCAACAGCAGCAGCAGGTGACAGGACAACAGAGCTGCAAAAAAGCAAACACCCCAAATGGGGATGAAACGTGGATCCAGACACAAAGAATAACACTGTGTGGGTGGGTCGGTGGGTCTGTGAATATATGTATATATGTACAACGCGTGGCGCATGTACATGTTAAGAGACAGGGCAACCACTGTTCCCCACACTTTCCCCTCGAGTGGGCTGTACAAAGCGGGACTTCTCGTGTTTCACTTAGCGTTAGCCTTCCAAATGTCGCTGCCGCACTTGCAACATAGTGAGAGGCTAGGAGTAAAGGGATAAAAATACGTAGGTGCAAGGGTAGATGCTGGGAGCATGTGAAAGTGGCATATTATGATGGTGACGTGAGTCAAGTGGCTGTTTCAGGCGGGTCGCGTTTCCCATGGATATACGTATCGCTGTGGCGCTACGGACCAATAACATCCCATCGTTGAGTTATATTAAAGTTTGAAATTTTCACACGCACCCCACGCAACCAACTACAGGCAGCCTGAGCCATGCGTTCGGCCACGTGCCACGGCAAGGTGCATATCCATTTATATGTCCTTATATACATGTATGTATATTATAATCATAATCATATAATATATATCATTTTTACAGCGCAAATTAATTGTTTTTATATGTGATAAATAATATTTATGTATAATGTAATATACATATATGTATACATATGTACATATGTATGTATACAAATCTCGTGTCACGGTAAAAGATTTGTTAATATTTAATGGGGAAAGCTTCTTCAAAAATTGTCATAATATCTAAAAATCCAAAGTAAATCCAAGGTATGTGAGTAGGAAAAATAAAACTTCAACGCAAAATGCAAAAATTAAAACCTTTAACCAAAGACTACAATACCAAGATGCTGCATGAGGAACAAATGGGCATTCAATTTTCGTTTGACGCTTCTAGGTACGGGGCTATTTCTTGACTTATCTTTTAGGCTCAGTGTGAAACAATTTATTGAACTCTTATTTGCTAATGAATTTAGCAAGCTGAAATGGCCAAGGGCCCCACTGTGCGAAAGCGTGCATATGCATGCGCAGACGAAGCCGTCGGGCAGCGGATTCGCGGCCAAAAACGAAGCATAGCCGAAAGGAGAATTGAAAGCCCGCGCGCTCCTGTTTTGAGGTTACGACACGCACTACGACCTACATGTGTATGTATGACCTACTGTTGTCGGGCGACAAGCTGTCAGCCTATGACTATGACATATGTACATACATACATATGTACATTTAACTCCATCGCCGGAGTAACTGCAAATTCGGAGCACAGGAAGGACGCAGGCTAGAACTGCATAAAAATTCCAAAAAACGACAGAAAGTGTCCCTCCGCATGTCTAGACACTCTTGATAGAGGATATACGACGATACACCCTCAGACATGTATGAACATATATTCCTACGTACATATGTATGTATGTAATTACATACATACATACTTATAAAGTGCTTGGGCAAACGGAATTTGGGGGCCCAACAGTAAGCAGTATCGTTGCCCAAAATGTGCTTCCGAAAGAGACGCAGGGCAGGGACAGATGGATACGATGGCGTCTCCTTTCCCGGATAGTGCTAACAGTTTAATTTCCTAGCGACAGAGACACTGCAAACAGACTGCAGGATGCTCGAAAACTACGTCCGCTGATTGCGCCACGGAAATTAAATTAGAGGGGAACGAAGAAAGACCCGAAAAGCAAGCCCCATCAGCAGGATTATGCCAATGCAAACTGTCACTGTCACCGGCGCTGCCGCTGTTCTTTCCAAGGCCACTTAATGAGTCAGTAATGAAAATTTGTATGTGACCCGACTAGAAAAACTTGGCGCTGACAAATTGTTGTAAATATGTAATTAGTTTCAAATATGCTTGGGGGCCAACAGAGTCCCAGGCAAGCAGCCAAGATCATTAGGCAAACTAAGAAGGTTCTAAATTGAGTCCAAAATATGCAGGAAAATGTGGAGTGTGTATGAACAAAAATTGAGACCAAAAGTGGGATGCAGTTGCTATTGATTTTCTCGTATCGCAAAGCTGCTTATTGAATTATTTGCATTATCAGCCTTGATTTTTGTGATATAATGTGAATTTAAATTTTCCAATTCTCCACAAAATAACAGTAATATATTCAATTGGGAGGCAAATTGAATTGACATGAATAAAAGGTCGCCATATTCCTATTTAAGCGTTGCTTTAATCAGGCTCATCCAGCTGGAAACTACTGAAATACTGAAATTTTCATCAAAAGTTTTCCCAGCCATTCACTAAACTCAGTCTGGTATTCAAATCACAAAAGAGAAGTCCCAGGGGCACACCTGAGTAAAAGATAATAACACTTTCAACAGATGATATATACATATGTTTTCATATAGGGTGCGATAAGGTTAGTTTTCCTCTATAATTTTTAATATTTTATTCAGTTGGAGGCTGGCTATCGAAATGTCAAATGTTGGCCGTAATACTGTTGATAGTTCTCCCATTGGTTCTCCTAATTGGATTTATTAGGAGTATTGGAGCTTTCGCAGGCGACTGGAATGATGAAAATTGATGAAAAACCGGTTGAGTCGTGTTGTGAGAACAAACAAAACTCATTTTCATATGCAAAGAATGTTCCTTTCCATTTCCATTTCCCTGTGCGTACCCCTTTCCAGGCACCAGGCACGCACATTGGCGTGCGTGCATCCGCATATATTTAAAACTTTTTGTTTATTTATTTAGTTGTGCTCGTGTTTGTCTTCCCCCTTTCTGCCTCAGAAAAAAAATACAAAAAACAACACAAAAAAAAAACCAACATTTTTGCATAATTATACCCGTAATCAAATAGTTAAGGGGTATATTGGATTTGTGGTAAAAGTGTATGTATGCCACGCAGTGAAGGAAACGTTTCCGACCCCTTAAAGTATATATATTCTTGATCAGCATCAATAACCGAGTCGATATAGCCATGAGATTTACCGATGTAGAATCTACATTGTGAATGTATGAATCGGGTTTGTTTATTTAAATAACTAAACTAATTTTATATGAGGTGCAAACACAGACCAACAGATGGAGTGCTCTATTAATAGCTGGTGGTGTCCCTTAGTGGCAAGTCATAAATGTCAGGGGCTCCTTAGGCGTGGCCAAGGACGGTATTCAGATTCGAGTTCCCCAAGACATATGTACGCACATATAAATGGGCAAGTGTACGGGTATGGCTACGGCTACGAGTAAATCCAACTGACAAATAACTGAAAATGTGATTGATGACGGCCCTGACATGCTGACACATATAAATGCCCACAAATGGAGCCGCTGCCACTGACGTTTCTCACTGTCACTCCCATATACTACCGGATAGTTCCGGACCGCATATCCTCCGCCTTTGTGTTTTTTTTTGCAATGGGAGTGCGTGATTTTTGTGCGCGCATCATTACTCAACATTCTAAGTGCTTTTGGAAATAGGACTGAACTGGGACCTGGGATTGGTCCTGGTTCTGCGGTTCTCAGTTTAGCCTACGATTATTGCCATTCATTGCCGAGACTATCCACATCATTATACCCATTAC